GACCCCCGTCGATCCGAAGCCATGCTCCGGCCGGAGAGGAGAAAAGTACACAAAAAGTAGCTAGTTAATGTTTAATTCTTAGTTATTTTCCATTATTTTCATGGTCATATTCCTTCAGTTCCTGTCTTTCCTTGAGGTTTGAAGAGTTTTGAAAAGTGGGTTCAAATTTAGTTGTTGATTATTGAAAAAATAAATTTTCAGAATCTGAAAATTCAGAATCTGAATCATTACTAAAGAATAACTATTTCAGAATCTTGAGATCTTGACATGACAAATTTTCATTTTATAAAGTATCCGGATTTGGCTTCTTACGGACATTTCCGATGAGCAATTGCATGTTATAAAGTGTTTCTTCCTGGATGTCGATTTCTATCTTAACCTATCACAACCTGTGCTGGTCATTTTATAAACTAGTTTGTTTTTCATTTTATAAACCAAAAAACTATCCTTCTATAAACCCACAAAGTTTATAAAATGCAAAATCAGCGCGCCTATGAACAATCACGGGGGATTCCGGAAATATCCTCACCAAAAACGCTTGATGTGTTTGCTATACTTGCTCATCTTACTCTGAGCCCCTCACCAACAAGATCGGACCTTGTTGGTCCACTGGACAAGGTGGTCCACTGATGCCGTAAGCTTGCGCTTCCGTCAGGATGGTTGTAGAGATCCGACCGACGAGCTGGGGAGCCCAGAGCTGGGGTGATGGGAGTTTGGTCATTCTCCTGAGAACGGGCACCGAAAGAATCAGACGCGTTGAGAGAGTAAATAGACTTGGACAATCTAGGAAAGACGCCAAAGAAAGGAGCCAAAAGATCGTTAGCATTGTTGATGGTGAGGTTTGTTTTGGGCATAATTAGTGCTTTTAATTGAAATGACCCCAGGCATGACATACCGGGCACAGATGTTGGGGAGCGGAGAGCAAATTTGCACACAAGAAAGTGAGAGTGCTCACGAGTGAACTCAAATTTAGGGATTTGATGCAAACTGGGCCACCTGGCAACATCTTCAACAGATGCAATTGTGCAAGCCATATAGTGTTGAAGAAAAGTAACGCACGTGCATTCAGCAAAACATGCTGCGTCTAGGCTATAGGGGCCTTTGCTGCCTGCTTTATTCAAGGGTGTTTTTTTTCATCGATGGGCATCAACTAGTTGGATCCATGGGGTCGTGGAAGATGGCTTTCCTTTGGCAGTGAGTTCTTTTTTTTCCAATCAGTCAGAGTTGGCGAGACGCTTGGTGGGAGGATGTTGGGAGCTAGGTTAGCTTCTCCCTGCAGGCAGCACAACTCACCAAAGGACGCTTTCTGGTGGAGAGTAGCTGGAGCTCTTCCAATGCTTTACTAGGCCGCCCATCCATGTGGTTCACAGAGGGTATGGGCTATCATTGGCTAACGAGTAGCGGCCGAGGTCCACAGACGGAATGGCAGGCCTACTGCCGGGGCGTGCGGGGGCAGACGGGGAGGATCAGGGAGGTCTGAAGAAGTTCACCTTGAAAACTGTCAGAACATGGGAAGAGGAAGGTGTGTGGTGGAGGGTCCTGGGAATGGCTCCATGCAAGGAGTTCGTTGTGGCTCATAATTGGAAGTGCTAACAGCTCCGATTTGGGGTGGGAACCCAGTGCGTCTTTTCATGTCATCACACGACCATGCGCCAATGGGGTGTGAAGCATGCAATGACAGAAACTCACACAAACCAATGGCGCTGGCTTGTTGCTCTTCTAGCCACGGGATCCTGCACGAGGTTTCGTTCAGAATTTGCACAAAATTGCAATCTCCTTGCAGGGGTGGCTGTTTCATCCTGTTTCATCCATCCACCCAGCCCACCGTCACGGAGGACCACTCCGCTCCCCACCTGGTCCCAAACGCCAGGGCAACACCCTGGATGACCTGGCCAGATCCTCGAAGCGCGCGAGCCGGTATCCAGAGAAGTGCGGGCGCCTGCCAACACCAGCTTACAAGAGAAGCCTCTTGGAGTGAGCTGGGGAGGAGGGTGCGATGTTAAATTGGTGGTAAATCTATAGACACCACTTGCAAAGAAGGAGGTGGTGGACTCAGATGCCCGCAAGTAGTTGTGGATCAAACTCTTTGAAAGATGCTTCCCGTTCAACGGGGCTAAATGGGATTGGGTCAGGCGGCGCATGGCGGCACAAAAAACAATCGACCCTGACAGACTTTGCCCAACTCAGGATTCAAACTCCCAGTGTTTTTTTTTGCATTCTGCACTTTGGCTTTTCCCCATCAGAACCACGGGATTAGTAGTGATATGTCAGATTGTAAATAGGGTTGTGACCTGTATTATGTACCATATTATGTTTACCACATCGCTGAAGTTGAGAGATCAAATGTGGGGCCATTGTTGGTGACTTGGGGGTACCACTGGGCCAAGAACTGATACTAGGAAGATCTGGCAAGTTAAGCCATATCCCTGCATGCTTTGTTTCGCCACAAGGGTCGAACCCCCTCAGTGCCTCGGTTGGTGCAGCGGCACTCAGGAGATGGCCCCCTGATGCATTTCAAAGAGGTTTGCTCCACCGTTGATGAAGAGGCCCTCCCGGGCCAGACCGCCGACCGAACGACCGGCACTGCTTCAGCAGAGGATTGTCCAGAGGATGGTCATGTTCCAAACTGACCTGATAAACTCAGAACTGGCTGTGGTGCAGTATATATAACATGCGACAAGCAAAGGGTTGCACATGTTGATATATTTTGCCTTGGGGTGCAGGGTGTTGAACCACGAGCAGAGGACGGAGGTGTATATCTGTATGTCATAATGGAGGAGGCAGGGCGCGAGCTGAAAGCCAAACACTTGCGAGGACTCCGACACCGACTCCTCCTTCGGCGAGTATTCGGGGGACGATGACGAGCCGCCAGTTCCCGCTCCGCCTGGCTCTCAGATGAGTCTGTTGACAGGGCCCCAGCGGTTTCCTTTTTGGTGGAGTTCAAGCAGCATAAGGCTACTGTCAGTCCAGTCAGTCCAAGAAATGTCAGGTGCAGGGCTAACAAAAGGGCCGCGCTGTTTCAATCACAACTTGGAGCCGCTCCGTTCTGTGGGGTTGGTCCTTCTTCAACTCTCATAAATTGATGGCCTCCTCGGTCCTGAGTGGTGCCAACTTCAACACTGACTGAGGCACAAGCCCTACCTCCATATCCATGTCTTTCAGAGACAGGTTGCTAATTTTCAAACTATCTGACCAAGCTCTTTACAGCTGTCTCCAGATCAAGAAACAACTTACAGGACCAAGACTCAAAACCCAAGACATGTACACTCATCTGCCACTTGTTGCTTCCTTGTTTAACCAGTGCTGCACACTACACCTCAGCTCCCCAAAACCTTCTGCCCTGTCGACCCATCGCGCCATCGACCCTCGCCATGTCCCGGCCACTTTGGCCGGCCTTGGGGAGCTCGGGGGGCTCGACTGGCTCGCGCGCCCGCAGTTTGATGGCCGTGGCAACCTCGCATCCACCGGCGCCATTTGCGATGGTGAGCCAAAGGCCACAGGGAGCACCCTGGTGGGCCCTTTTGGTGTCTGGCTTGGGCCTGGGAACTGCTGTGGCACTGCTCCTGCGGCTGCTGGCCTGGTGGAGGTGGGCCGTTTAACAGCTCACATCACACTCACACAGAAGTTCCCATCCATTCCATGGCACGAAGTCTAAGTCAGGAGTCCAGTGGCTTGTTATGCATTTTTTCCCCAAACAGTTTACTGTGGGGGTTCTATCTTAGAAAAGGAGAGCTGGCGACACTGACTGTTGTCCTCCTCTTGTCCTTCTCTTATCCTGCTGTTGTCCTCTGGCCGTGCTGACCAGGGCCGCACCCCTGAACTCTGTGGCCGAGTGTTTAGAATGCTGAGTGACGTCCAATCAGACGCCCGCGAAAGAAGCGGGTTCGCGTAGGGGCCCGTCTCATACTGTTGATAGATCCGGCGCCCGATAATGTGCCCGTGAGACGCATTGGACATGGTCAAATTTTTCATGAATATGGTCAACAGCTGGAGAGGAGTGTGGCCGAACACATAGCGATGTCGATGCCAATCATTGATGAAGCAGTTTGCTCTTGGGGGGAAGGTAGGGCGTACCAAGAAATCGTTTTTGAATGTTTTTGAGTGACATTGGTCCAAACGAATCGTATTGAAACTGTTTTGGGTCTATGCTAGTATAATTCTAACTTTGTTTTTCATATGTCTTAAATGTCGAACTTTCCAGATATATTTGATCGGATTTCAAGCTCATGACAGTTGACCAGGAGCTACCAGAAGTTCCAGTCCCGCCCACTCCGCGCGCTGCCGCGCCCGGACGACCGGCCCGCCGACGCGGCGGGGGGTGGCCGCTTGCAAGAGCTGGTGGCCCAGTGGCGGATCCACGCGGAGGAGACACGGGAGACCACTGCGTCCCTCCGAAAGTCGGTGGAGCAGCAGCAACGGCTCTACCAGATCTTTGTCAGGTTGATGGTAGTGCTTAGCAGGGGAATGGCGGTGTTCAGGGAGTTGGGCGGATTCCCATCTGGGGATTTGTGGGTTGGTCTTTGCATGTCTCTGCGTACGACAAGTGGTTGGAAGGAGGTTAACACCGGTTTAGCTTCCCAAAAACCAGTTCAAGAGGTGATCTTAAAGCCAATCAACTTGTCTCTTCCGTGCAAGTGCGAGCCATTGCCTCATCTCGTGTGCAACACTTCCCCGGCCCATCTCAGGATGGTGGCGACCGACTTCCAACGGAAACTGGATGAAGCTTCCAAGAGGAAGCTTGGCACTTTGCGCATGGAGGCAAGGCGAGGTAAAAGTAAAAGCGAACAGGCTGGTAAAGACATCATTCTGGAAAGGCGAGAAGCATGGGTCGAGTTTACACAATCGTTTCACCCTGCATGGGAGGTGGCCCCTGAATCTTTGCAGCAGCTGCGCTCCTTGGTCTCCTGCAAGCAGGGTGGGCCCAGCACCTCCGGCGCACCCAGCGCCAGCGCGGCCTTGGCGCCCAGCACTGGTGCCGGGACACCGGCGCCGGAGGCAGAGGCGGCGCTGCAGCGGCTGCTGCGGACGAGTGCTTCGGAGGCTGAGGCGAAGCGCTCACTGCAGACCTTGTCAATGATCTTGCAGAACTTGTTGAGCCATCCAACACAAGAGAAGTACAAGGCACGTGGTGCAAAAGAGATGGGAGTGGATGTCGGAAGTGTGATAGATCGGGAAATGCGCACCACCTGGGAATCATGGGAAGCCAGTGCACTTAATTGCACAGTGGGTTGCATACACTATCCTCGATTCCTAGAATGTCACAAATGTACATTAAGCACCCACCCTTGGTGTTTCAGCCGAGCAAAGGTGCCCCAGGTGTTTCACTCGCGGATGCTGTCCACAGATTCGATGCTTTTTGCGTCGACTCGACAGGAGGTGAGCGCCAGCAGCGCCCGTTTTCGGGAGACCTTCGAAGCATCGGATGGCGCGGCTGCAGAGCTGTTGAAGCTCGCGGGCTTCCAGTCACCGGGTAATGAACAGGGCTTTTGCATGGTTTTTCTCGACATAGTCAACGCCTGTCACACCCACAGCGCCCTAAAAGATCACACCTTGAACCACTTCATTGTGCTTCATGGGTCCGGGGTGAGAGCAAGCTTCCAACCTGGTTCGTTTGGGATCTGAGGCAGGAGGGTGAGAGCTTCAAATGGCTGAACGGAAGCGGGCGAACGATGGAAGCGTCGAAGCTGCAAGAGTTCTTGCAGGAGGCCTTGAGGGAGGAGCGCTACAAGAAGGAGGACAAGCCCAGCCCCAGAAAAGACGCTGGGCCGAGCAGCAGGCTCTTCAAATTGTTGTATGGTATTAATAAGCATGGGGTAGTGGTGCGTGGGTGGCTCTTGGATGCTTTTGCATTGTTGAACTGTCAGGAGAAGATGTCAGTTGTTCATGTTTCAACTCCATCTCCGCTGAGCACCTTGAACGGGGGTTCTGTTGCTCAAGGCTGCAGGCTAATGATTAATCATGTCGCTTAGCTCTAAAAGCTCGGCAAAAAAACATGAAAAAGCTCAGACAATCTTGTGCTCCAAAAAAGCTTAAGAGCGCGACATCCCTCATCAAACGGCTCCACGGTAGAAACCTGCCTCATCCTCATCCCTCACTCAATGTGCAGCTCAAACCGACCTTCAGGAAGACATGGCCTCCATGGAGGGCATGGCGCCATGGGCTTCGGCCATGGTCCAGGAGCAGCTCTCAAAGCTGGGCCCCCCCTGAGCGAACGCCGCGGCCGCCCCGGACTGGCGGAACCATGTTGCGGTGGAAAAGACAAGACTGGCTTTGGCGGGTCAGGGGTGGTCAGGGTATGTCAGGGTGGGTGGGGATTCAGGAAAATAGCGCCATGATTTATGACTGTGATTAACATCATGTAGTGTGGGATAGTGTGGGTGTCACATATTTGTCACTCAATGTACCTCAATTGGATTTATCACGATTGATTTTTTCATACTTTTCCCCAGTCCCCAAGTCTCCACGACCCTTCCTTCACATAACCTTATATGCTTGAATCTACACCAACCTCACCTCTAGACTTGAGCCGTGGATCCACGGCAAGTTACCATCACGATTTCCACTCCATTTGAAGCCTTTCAGCAACAATCAGTCTTCACTCTTCATTGTATCTCTTCCGCCCTGAGGCCTCGAACTCGGCGACTGTCCAAGTTCTCTCGGTACAGCTGCTTGGAATTGATTGATTTGAGCTGGCAGACCTTAGTGGCTCTTCGTCCCGTTTGGTCGCCTGTCAGCTGGGCAAACCATGCCGCCATACAGTTGGAGGATATATGAATTGGTTTCTTAAGCTTTGAGGCGTTGATGAGACGGACTTTCTCAAGAAGAAAGCGCAGAGCTTGCTCCCAGATCTGAATTTGGTTCTGGAACGCTTGCGCAGTGGCAACGAGGGCCCCACAGCTGCAGATCAGCTTGGACCGTGCTTGGCAAAAGTAAAAAATCAAATAGGAACAACCTCACTGGTGCACTCATTACTGTAGTTGGAGAGGCCTGTTGGATTTCGCCCACCCAGCTTTGATGACTCAATGTTCCGGTCTTTTGATCCTGACGACTCGAGGACGACTCTTCCATGACCAGTCGCACCATGTCGCACCCAGTCGCCCAGTCCGTTTTTTCATGCCGCAGGCATAGTAGCGTGCTTGCTACTAGTAGCTTCTTGTTACTGGTATAGTAACATATAGTAACGCCAGGAGCTACTAGTAGCGTCCTTGCTACGCTTCTTCTTTGAGGCCTCTCGGAGTCGGAGATGGAGCGCTACGGCGCCGCCTTTGTGCGCTTCAAGGATCCCGACGGCCCCGAGTTGCACAAGGACAGCCCGCGAGCTGCGCCGGCCGCCTGCGGCAGCACCGCCTGTCTGGTGGCTCCTCCCTTAAGGCATCCTTTGTGTCCATACTGCAAGGGCTTACTATGCACCTTCAACATCCTTCAATGGCTTTCATTTTGGTTCTCACATCTTTGTGTCACCCAGTAAACCTGGTGAAAGACTTCGGCATCCAGGATGAGCTGCCCAGTATGTTGTCCTTCTTGGGCTTCCCCAACACGGACCCCGAGAAGTGCCGCGAGATCGCGGAGCCCGGGCGGAACGGGTAGACGATGGAACGACCACCGGCGGCGCCCGCTGAAGAGCGGCCAAACTGATGGACTTAGGTGTTGCCCTGGTTGTGCAGTTGTGTGGTTCTTGTTGCTGTACAAGTCTTCTAGTGCTGGACCTTGAGGAAAGAACAAGCACATACAAGCGCAGTAGATAAGCAACAAATCCGACATGTCCGCTGCTGAGGCGGACTCAGCTGTTCCCAGATTCTTACATGGCTTGGTGTGATAGAGGTGGAATGCCTATACTTAGACTCAGCCAAGGACGACTGTGCAGACTATGAAACCTTTGAAAAGTCGGACTTTCTGCGACTTGTCTGCGGTGCCAGCGTTAGGAAGGGTCACCCAGTGGCTCAGAGCTCAAAATACATCAAGCAGTGAGACCAAAATGCGTCCTCCTAGAGTGACCCCCCAAACACATTCGAAGTACTCGCGTGTTTCTAGACTCTAAGTGAATGCATCCAACAGTTTCCTACAATGTGTTTTCATGTGTTTCCTCACACTCTTGGGGAGCACAAAGCACAGGTTCCTGCAGAAATCCCTTTTTCAGCTCAAGTTGAACTCATTTCTCTGTTTGGATGTTCTCCGCCCATGAGCCCACACATTTCTCCACTGCAGGGAGTTCATGGAGAAGTGGATCGCTTGGGAGCGGGAACGGTACAAGGCGCCATCTCTCTCTTCAGCCACGCCCAGTGAAGTTCCCCAAACTGCTGGGGAACAACAACTGATAACTAGGGAACTGCTGAACTGCAGGGCACCAAGATATGATGCAACCAGTGTTCACATTTCATGGACAAGATTCTCCACCACCTGACGAGCACTAGCCTTGTTTATAGCATCTCCATCAAGCTGCTAATCTTGGAAAAAGACATATTGGCCTTTCATGGCAGTTCTTATGCAGTGAACACGCACCAGCGACACGTGCACCACAAAACAGTGCGGGGTGCAGCAGGGCCCAGTTCCCACAATGATGCTTTATGCGCGGCTCATTTCGGCAGACACAGGGGGAAGAAGCCAAGATTGCAATTTCATGAGTTCCCAATTGTCCCGCCATCGGTCAACTTGTCACGAACTCGGGATTGTTGGATTGGCTGCCCCCCTCGAGAACTTGATGATGCTAGCTGCTTTTGGTATGTTGCGGCAACTGCAAGGGGTCCTGCCGCGCTTCCTGCCAGGAGATTTTTGCGTCGTATGACGATGCATCTTGGATGACCGGTGAATCATTTTGGATGTCTACAGGTGCCCCAACCCAAATCGTGTCTACAGTGCTTAATGCTTATTCGATCCACTGGGGCAGCAAAAGGAATACCATGGAGAGCCCCGCCGTTTCGGGGGGGTCCAAGCGCTGCTTTTTGTGGTGGGTTCCAAGCGATACTGTTCGGTCAGCTTGAGAAACTCGGTGGAAGAACACCCCGAGAAACATGAAGAAGAATTGACATTTGTAGTAAGACACCATTGGTAATTAGGGCGTGTTAAGTGGTGCATAGTGTGGTGCATCTGAAGCTGCTTTTGGCCCGTCCAGTTTAGGACTTCACAGGCGTTTGCTCACAGAGGTCATTCATGTTTGCGGAGATCAGACATTAGTCATTAGTCATTCTGAAGGTGTTGGATGTATAAAATGACAAGTGCACTTTCTCACTAAACGGAGCGCCGGCTTGTTCGTCTCAGCTTGCTTAAGCCCGTCGCTCGACCGAGGATGGAAGTGGTTTTTTAGATACGACGGAGCTCATGACATTTGTCAGCTCCTTGGGTTTCACACCGCTTCGCAGCAGCTTGTCACAGACAGGAGGGAGCGACGAAGCGGAGTCCTATGTGCGAATGGACGAGGGGATGTGGGAGCTGATGATTGTTCAGTTTTCTTTGGTATCCAGTGCAGGCTGCAGATGACTTACCATCTCTCCCAGTAGTCTAAACGCCGGCCTGTCAATGTTTCGGGGAGTCCAGGGTCCGACTCGCGGCTCGCAGCACACACGACACGACACGCACGACACGAGGCATGGTGAAAGAAGCGTTGGACCTGGTGGATATGGATCGCAATGGCCGCTTAGCCCAAGCTGCCAACCATGAACCAGTCAATGAAACATATAATGCTGCATGTTGGCCTCTGGCCTGTGAGGCAACGGAATTGACCGGGAACCAAATGGAACAAAGGACACCCACCAAGAGTAGAAATTGCTACTGTACCCGGTTTGTTGCTTGCTTTAGCTGCTGTAGCTGCTGGCCACGTAGTTGGCCCTATCCATCAGGCCGTTGCGTCGCACCTATTAGCCTATCCATACCTATTCATTAGAGACTATCCATCCCTGCTATCACCCATGTGCTATGAGTTGTTCCTTTTGCTGTTTGGCCCCTATCCAGAAATGGTCGACATGTCTTGCCAGGACAAGTCGGCCAATCATGTTGTACGTACAACAGGTCCAAGCTGGCAAGCCTCGCCAGCAATGTTGGGACCTCATATTTCTGATCCTCGCAGTAGCTCACATGAGGCGACCCGGGTACTATGACACAGCATCGGGCATTGATTATTCGGCCAACTCCTCGCAAGATTCAAAAACCTTTACGACACTGCAGGACATATATATATATACCTACGGTGGAGGCCATCACTATTTGGTTGGAGGCCGTCGCTATTACAGTAGGTTGGAGGCCATCGCCATTAGGAATCAACCTTTCTGATTTATTGCTATTAGAGGATGCAGAAGTGCACAGCCCATTCATGTGCTAAGTCCGTGACACATCTATGACGCTGGCAGCACGCCAGTAATGCCAAGGCTTGCTAGACTTTGAAGAAGTGGTTGGGGCCTCAGCTGCCTTGATGGGGCAATGGACCTGTTTGTACGGGGGTCCTAGGTCGTGATGCCCAGATATGTTTGATATATTTTGCTTTTGAAGGACATCACTTGAAAAAGTAAATGAAAGTTAGAGGCGTTGTTTTTTAAGGCATGGATTCTGGGTGCCACCTGCATGCTGCAGGTGCTTCTCATGCATTGCTACCGGCATTCAGAGGGTTTCACCTTGGATGAGTTGCAGATGCTCGACTGCAGCGGAAGGAAACAAGCGTGGACACTCTCAAAAACTCAAGCTTATTATGGTGAGGTTTGGTTGCTATTTGGCCAACATCAATGTGATTGTTCAAGTTGTGCAGCCACCAAAGAACAACTTCTACAAACAAGAGGGTTCCGCACCTCGAGTTGCTGAAGACTCCTTCATCCTTCGAGCACTATGGACTATGGGTCTTCTTGGCTGGCTTTCCATCAGCCATCAGCGATGTCAATGGTCAACCATATCCTTTGCCCACACAAATCTTCTGATGTGCGACAATGTGGGACTCGTTGATTTGCAGTGAATGGTATTTTGGCTTTTGCTTGGCTCGCTTCGTTTTTCTTTCCAGTAGCACATTGTCCTACAGAATCCCACAGAGAAGCGTTGCAGTGAGTCATTGTTTAGTTGATCTAGGGAACAAGCTGGGGGTTTGACAAGGGAATGCCCAGTCTTCCTACTGCTGATCTGTGGGATTGACGGAGGACGGGCTGTGAGAGGTACAAGGTTTGGTCCACTCCCCAAAGTGACACGATTGACAGACTTTCTGAAGGACGATCACTGCAATATATCAAGATGTGGTCGACCAAGTGTCGTGCCTTGTTTGCAATGTGGCCGATCATCATGCACTGTTCCCATTGCCTTCTTTTCCACGCTGATGTTGTTGGAAGTTCTGATCCACGAGCAGAACTTGAGAAACATGTATATAGTTGAGATCGCACAGACTCGTTCAATCAGTTGCCTTGGAGTTGCCTTTGTTGACCACATGTTGGTCCAACATGCATGGCACTATCATCCCTGGGTAGGTTAGGGAGGAAGCTATTTAACTTTATGAAACTGCCTAGTCACAACCCGGAGTTCATCCTGAACTTCCACGTCGAACATCACTTGCATGCTACAACATTTGACGTGTCACTAGCATAGAATAGGATCAAGGATTTCCGCCTAGCATGGTCATTGGGAAGATTTCATGATGACTAATGACTAATGCTTTCGGCAGAATGTGTTCACATGGTGGCCCCCTCGGCAGGCGCCGGCGGGAAGGTACCAACCTTTTACCGGCCGCCGCCTGGCGATGTTTGTGGGAAGGAAGGCGTTGCTGGGTTTGGAAGAACTGCAAAGGCACTGGCACCACCTGAAACGTCCAATAGTTGATTTGTGGGCCCTGCAGATCCTAGGAAGTCATTTCGAGAACCACCAGAATCTTCGAGCATGTCCAAGTAACACTAGTATCACTAGTGCTCGCAAAGGATATGATCAGCAGAATGGCATGCTCTGACTTTCTGGATGGTCTTTAGTTGTTGGTGAAACATGATACAACTGTGCGAGCTGTGTTCCCAGCAGGTGGCTTTGGTATGCTTTGGTCCACCTACAGCACAATTGATGGTAGGAGCTTCGCAAAAGGATGGCGTTCTGTGGGATGGCAGATTAAACAAATTACCTCCAGGTTGGCGTGGGCCCATGCCATTTGTGCGAGTAGCAGCGGGGAAGTCATTTTGCGCAATCAGGTGGGCCTTTCTGTCTCCGATTGAGCCCGTGACTGCCCAGGAAATGCTTGGCGATGTGCTAGTACAGTTTTTTGGCCCAGCTCAAGCTCAGAAAGCCAGGGAGATGCAACAGGACTGACGAATGGTATATACAGACGGGCAAGTTTGGGCAGATCTTGAGGATCGGCAGATTAAAGAGCACCATTCTCCAGGGGTGTTCAAACAGCTGTGTTCCGAAGTTCAATTTGTCCCGGTTCGTTTCCGAACCTCTTTGGGCCACCTGCAGCAAAGTCATTACCCGAAGGGCAGAGACCTGTGGGTGCAAAGTGGTGACCCTGCTTCAAACCATGTTAACACTTGTTGATTGTTTGAATCCAACTTGGTTTGACACTTGCAGGTAGATCCTCCAACATGCATGGTATATTATAGTTCAGTGACTGGTGGAACTCCCAAAAGCAGGAACCTTAGACCCTCAGTTGAGCCAGTTGCAGATGTTTGTGCAATCCCATGGGTAGATTTCTTTCCCTCAGAAGAGATGGCTGTCAAGCGAGCACATGGCTTCCATCGACGCAGGAATGCATCGCCCGCATGAATAAGAGAGAAAGCAATCGCCCCAGCCACCTGGCAAACATAAATGTTCGGACGGCGGGAGGTTCGCGGTAGCAAGTTCATATTGGCAGCGGGAAGCTATTGACCTTTTTGAGCGGTGGTCAACGTCACATTTGGCATATAGTTAGCGAGGTTAGTGATGGAATATGATGGAATGTACTCGTATCACCAATGGTGAAGTATATAATTATATAGTTATATTTATATACCGATGTTCAACTTCAACCACCGGTCAGTAGGCAAGTATTCAGATTCCGCTGCTGGGCGGGCTGGTGCCTGTTGGAAAGGCTGGGAGCCCCGGTATCTTTGTGCACACTCCCGAGCTTGATGACCGAGGCTCCCAGTCGCAACACGCACGGCCGAAGACCACCTTCGGAACCTTGGTTGCAGCCAACTAGGTTGAGGTCTCGGGGTAAATCATACTCAGTGTGCAGTGTGTGACACAGAAGAGTCATTTGTCAGGCGCTTGCTTTAATGAGGTTTGGTCACAGTTCCGAGTTTCTGCCCGATTTCACCTCTCAACTGTTCCACCAAGCTTTGCTTCATGTGGCTGACTTTACGCATAGCAGAGTACAGACAGCCGTATCACGTGTCATTTTGACGATTGATGGAGCTCCTTGAATAATTATTGATTGGTTCGGTTCCCCAAGTGAAGGACACTCATGACTACATTCTGAAGGAACCTAAGGATGCCATGCTTTACTTTTGACATGATCTGGGGGAATGTTTGACGTCCGAGCGGGGGTGGCCGGACTGTGCTGGAAGCCGGACTCTTGGTGCCATGGCGCCGTTTTGGACCACCCACAATTAGGATCGACAAAGAGCACAGCTGTGAAGGACACAAACATCTCACCAAGTGGACTACGGTGACTAGTCAGCTGTTGTGGGTATAGATTGGTGCATGATCGCTTCATAGATGTCATGCTACATGCCAAGGTAAAATTTGCATATTAGCATCAAAAATTGCACATCCAACAGCACTCAACCATTGGCTGCAAATCCCACATTTCTTGTTCCACAATCTGCAAAGTACCTTGAATTTGCTAACCAGGCTCAAGCCCACAACATCATCTAAGATCTATGTGTTTGAAAGTCTGCCTCAGCAAACGCCTTGAATAATGAGGCATGGGCTTTCATGAAGTCCTACTCTGGGCGCGGCGCCTACGAGAGAAGGCCAGAGATGCGTACCACTGTAGTTAGTCGCTGTAGTCCAAGGGTCTAAGCCTGATAAGTCTCGAGATAGTTTTTTTTGGACGGTCGAATTGTTTCCTAACATTTCTGGATGGTTCCAGAACTGCTTCTTGGTCAAGTTTATTGCCTTTCTTCCAGTGGTTTGTGTGCCAGTGGTATGGGACACTGTCATCCTTGAAGCTATATAAGGTACCTGTTTCTTTGTACTTTCATCTTTGCTTATGGGGGCCCGGCTCGTAACGGGAAGTGTGACTTATACAGTTACAACGATGTGTAATGGCAATGGCCTACATTTGTACCTATGATATGATTACGGACCAAGTGCAGTAGTTCAAGTAGCCACACACCAGAGCAGAATAGGTGCTGAACACTGGGGGTTCCCAGTTCACACTCAATTGCTCCAAGATGCTCCAATGGTCCCAACTTCACTTCTTGGAGCCTGCCCCCCAGGAGTTTGAGAACTATCGCACCCTGGCCGCCAGCATGACTCGTCGCATTACATGTCATGGCACGTGGCAACATCATTCTCAAATTATATAAATGGGTCAGTGAACCCCGCAGCTCCGCAGCTAATTCACCAGTTGGGTAGATTGCACTCAGTAGTTGGTTGTTCGATCTGAATTGAATGGTTGGACTACTTCCATTTGGGTTTCATGATTGCAGGCTTCCGAGTCGTACAGTTCCAAGGTCAACCAAGGGCCGGACTACTGCTTTTATATATTTCACATTGATCTGCATTCAACACTCAGTTGGCTAGAAGAAGTATAGTACTGTAGACACCTTTGAATCTGCCTGTAAACCCTTGAAATTTGATATTCTCGGTGCAAAAGAACATGGAGGAGCAGGGGGTTGGTGAAGCTTTGGTGCGGCGTTTGCTGGGCCAAAACCTTGGGTCCTGGATGACGACCCCTTTGTCGGCGCCAAAGGTTGTGGCCTGTTTCGGGACTGTCCAGTGGTAAAGGTGTTCCCGCTCTCACCCCAGTCACTGTCCCAAAGCCACTCCTCCAGGCCCCTTCTTGTTGACATGATTTGAAAGAGGACCTGTTCCCATGAAGGTTGAATGAAATGGGCATCTCTACAAAAAAGGATTGTTGAAGGAACATGTCAGACACAGCATCAACTATGGAGGAACACAATCTACCGACCCCATGCTTTTGTACCAGGAATGGCCGATGTTGGTTTGGAAATCCATCAGTTGAGACCGGCCATGAGAGCTCACGAATTCGCATGATCAACATCCATACTGCGCATTACTTTGCGTACTTTATGTAGTAACAAGAAGCTAGTAGAAACAAGTGCCTCGCTACTAGTAACAAGTGCCTTACTAGTAACAAAAAGCTACTAGGAACAAGTGCATCGCTAGTAGTAACAAGAAGCTACTAGGAACAAGTGCATCGCTAGTAGTAACAAGTGCCTTACTAGTA